TAATTAATGAGCAATCACCGCACCAAATAAGACCTCAAGTGGTGGCTACATGTGCTGACAATTATAGTACGCTTGTGGGTGACCGACACGAACTATAAATGCCGTGCAATCTATGCATGTATCACCCCTCATCTGCGCATGTCTCAGACTTGTTTAAGATTGCCTATGACTAAGGATTCCCGACGGACTCCGAAACATCAGGACAATAAAACTCTTCTTCCAGTGATCGCTTCCTCTTCTTCTGAACTGCTTCCTGGAACTCGGATATTCTCCTCTATTGGCAAGGCCGGAATACTTATGTGGAAATACGAGTGGTGCATAGCGTGCACATCAATATGGCCCAGATTGTTTATTTAAAAGGTGAGTTAAGTAAGATATCTTGTTTCGCTCATGGCAGGATACATGGACTGAAAAGATTGAACTTTCCGGCGGTAAATTATAATGAAGTGTTCCATGAATATTCCATTACCCGCTACCGCGGTCTACTTGTTAAATTGCAATTTAAATCAGATTACCGACCCCAGTTCAGCCCCCTATTTGATCAGATCGATGGGTGGAGAAGGAATAGATCATGCGTATGTCCTTTTAGCGCGTGCCATATTCAATATGCAAAGTTCATATTGTTCTTAAACCTTGCCTAGTTGCGGTGAGCATAAGCTGTTGGTCAAATCAGCATCCAATCTAAGCAATTATCGTAACCCACAAGTCGACCATCTAAAGTCACATTGGGTCTTTATCGGAAGCTCCTTCTCTGACACTCCAATTATACAACCCACAAAATTCGCTGTTGTGAGGTCCTACACGGGGCTGTGTATCACATCAAATCTTCAGGTTCTCTGGTTTTCACTCTGTCTGACAACTAATGCTGTCGGTTCCTATAGGAATTTGCCGTTATTTAACAGGTCACTAACATTTGCTTCTGTCTAAACAGTCCCTTTATATTTTCTGTGGGACCATTTCAGTCTTTGAGCTACTCAATACTTCACATCCTGACGCCTCCCCCCCCCACTGACAATACTCGCCCCCGAATTTCCACTCTTCTGATAGAAGGCGCTTCGA